TGCTTTGAAATGATTTGTAAAATGCCCTCAAGATCTTTTATTAATCAAAATACAAGCTTCACCAAATTCAAACGCTGGTGTTTCTGACTCTGGGTAACAGCAGCTTGCCTGAGAGTTCCCTCTTCTGTTTTAAAAGTGTACTGCAAGTTACATTTCATGGATTTTACAGCAATTCTGGGTAGGACAAAGGGGGCTTCTCAGAAAAATGTCAAGATACAATCCTTTTATTTACATAAACTATCCTTCCTTCTGAGGTTTGGAAGGCTGTGCTGGTGTGCAGAGGCATGAGGGGAAGAAGCAAATCTCAAGGTGGAATGGCGATTTGTGTTTCTTCCTAGAATTCTCATGGAAATGAACTTCAATCTTTCAAAACATGGGGCAATCACACTAATCCATTTTCTTCTTTCATACAGGTGGAAGGAACATAATCTTAAAAGCACAATATTACCTGAAACTTTTATCTATGGTATTTTTAGTAAATCAACTATTTGCTTGATAACCAGCAACTATCTTGCTTTAAGAATTAATTACAAGGCAGGTACAGTGGCACATGACTGTAATCTCAATGGCTCAGGAGGCTGAAGCATGAGGATCACGAATTCAAAGCCAGCCTCAGCAACTCAGCAAGGCTCTAGCAACTCAGCTGAGACCCTATCTCTAAATAAAATATAAAAAAGGGCTAGAGATGTGGCAGAGTGGTTAAGTGCTGCTGAGTTGAATCTCCCGTACCAAAAAAATAAAATAAATAATGACAGTCAAATTCATATCTCAATGCCAGCTCTAAGCAAGAACTTATTAATATACTTACAACAAGAAAAAAATCCTTGTTTCATATAACCCAGGAAAATATACAGGTAATTAGGTTGAGCCCCATGAAATTGCTAGCAAGAATGACAAACACTGGCAATTGTCAATGAAAATATCAAATTGTCAATACCAAAATCAATATCTCACCAAATACACACAGTTCTATACTTTAGGAGCAAAAGTTCCTAGGGACAGAATTGTGCAGGGAATTAGAGGGTCTAGGATAGATAACATAGATACTTGGAAGCGGGCAGGGCAGCCTAGGTAGATCTGAACAAGAAAGAATTAAATGATGGGGATTTAAGGGACATTGTTACAAACATGGTCACTCAATGACACTTAATCCTTTCCCTTGCTCCTGAAGAACAACAGCCAAGCCTTGTCACTACGAGCAATGGCTAGAATAGTGCTTGGTGATCTGCCTGGTACAGTTTTGAAATATTAACTTTAATAGATAAAAGTTTAATTTCAACAAATGTCAGTTTTCTTATGATGGAAAGAGAGGTTGGTTTCATTAGGGTTTTTTAATCAGCATTGATTTACTTTTGTATCTATTATGGCCTACCCACTGCACCCACCTCAGCTCTCTGAAATATATTCTGCACTATTGGGTAAAAATATATTCTGCACTATTGGGTAAAAATAGTTTTCAAAACTTCAAAAACTTTGCTTTTAAATACACATTATTTCTTTAGTACTACTAAACAAGTTGCCCAAGTTGTACAATTCTGTTCTCCTGTGGACAAAGTTCAGCCTATTGTCAAAAAAAATGGTATATGACTTTGAAATGGAAGTCCTATCTCATTTTCATGCAGGTTATCAATACCTTTACTTTGTCTTTGAATTATTTTATGAATCTGTAAATGATAGAAGTCTGATATTAATGCACATGACTCTTGTCCACAGAAATGTAAATTAATTGTTAGGACAGGAGGATACTATATTTTTACTGTTGCCCTAAGAATGACTAGACCCATCTTGTATCTATTGGCAAATTCATTTGAGAATTCCTTACTTCCTATATATGTCTTTTTTTGAATTCTCTTTGGAACTCCTTATGACTTTTTTATTTTATAGGGTCTCAAGTTGCTTAAGGTCTTGCTAAATTGCTGAGGCTGGCTTTGAACTTAGGATCCTCCTTTCTCAGCCTCCCAAATTGCTAGGATTACAGGTGTGTAACACCACACCCAGCATTGAACCAATTATAACAGCTTATGGATTCCCTCATTAGTTAGTGAGTTAAATAAAATCTTATGCACATATTCACTTCATATCTTTATGAGTCATGATTATTTGCTCTTTTAAAAATCATCCTTTATCATATCATCAATTACAGTTTGATGATATTATTTTTCCAGGATATGCCAAGATGCCATGTTCAATGACTCCTTAATAGTGAAGTCTTATACATATGCCTGACAGAGAGTCAATTTTTGAAGGTTATTGAAATTGATTTCACACCTTAAAAAAATATCCCCAGGCCTTGCAAAAGATATAAGTCCATAGCACAGCAAGAATTATTTGAAATACATCTTTAATTTTAGAAAAATCAATATGCAATCTACAAAATACTTTGTTACATGATTATTAGGGCTCAAACTGTTTTATATTTGTATTGATAGGACACAAAATCATATTTTGAGTAAAACATTATAACAGTCATTGTTAAGGAAGACCTTCTAACTGAATTTATAAGAAAAGGGCTGTATTATAAGCACAGCTCCAGAATTAAGGGAACTAAACTCCTAGAACTGTCTAAAATATACATCAGGTCAAAAATTTTAGCCTTTATGTTCTGAAAAATATCCTTTTTCCATCCCTTTTTTAATAAACTGTTGTGATTCCATTGAAAAAGGAAATATTCTTTAATTCAGATCTTCATAATTGATCATGTGATGATCAATCCGTGAACTCATTTATATTGTTACTATGACTCTGTGATTTGTAAAGTGACCAGACTAGAACAATTGGAACAGAATGGGACTAGTCACAACTGCTCCTCTCTTTGGAAATGTGCCATAGTGTCAATCAAACAACTGACTTCAAAATGGTCAAACTCGTAATAAACAAGTAAACTAACCTAAAATGCTATAAGTATTTCTTCCTTTATTCCCTCCGGACTTCCTTTAAAAGTGAGGGGGGGGGGGGGGCCTTGAAAATCACTATTTACTTTCTGACAAAAGAAATTCTACTTCCTAATTTTTAAATCTAAATAGACCCTACCTGATTTTTTTCACTTAGAGCTCCATAGTCACATTTGACCTCCTGCCATTTCTAAGGTCAGAAGAATCATATTAAGAAGGCTCTCATTCCTACACAGAATGTTAATTTAACACTAAGTAATGAATATTTAAGGTTCTAATAAATGTGCAAATTAACAATTATGCGGGAGCACCCTGCTGTTAATGCTATCAACCTTTGCATTGCTGCAGAAACTCAATTTGGGCTTTAGTCTTTTGTTACTATATTTTCAACAATGAGTCTTGAGATGCTCCCGGAAGTCTGGGTGGCTTGTGAGTAAACGACCCTAGCAGTGACGTACCCACAGATACTAGTCAACCTGTGAAGCATGAGAGACAATTAGTTGAACCCTTTGTTGAATTTATTTTGAGGTATAAATATTCATTAAGTTCGTCTAAATCAGATTGTGAGTTCTTTGTAGGCCAGATGCCATAAAACATACTTGGAAGGGAATGGCAGTAATTAACCCAGCTAACTTCCCTGGGATTGTGGTATAGCATCAGATCTGGCCCACTGCCATATTTGTTCTGAGCAGACTGAAGTCGCTCCAGAGTGTGCCCATGCCAGATGAAAAGAAAAGATGGTGGAATTTTAAAAACAATCACACACACACATATAGATTTGCCCTCCTAGACACATAAACAGTGAGTCTCAAACATATGATATTATGAGCAATATGTCAAGTGAAGTTAAAAAGAACAACATCAATTCCTTTCTCCCATTGACTTTTGCATTCTGTGCCTTCACAGTAAAAAATGAAAAGCAATAAAATCTGCTAATTGATACAGACCATCATAAATGTTTGTTTTAATCTGTTATTTGAACAGATTAAAATGAATGTAATACAATATTAAATAAAACATAGGAAATAAACTCTGTAGGCCAACAAAAAATGTTGTTGGGAAGAACATTATATCAGTTTTGACTCAAAACAATCCAGTAAATAGAGAAAAATGCCTCCTGATCATATTTAAGATTCAACATATATTGGAGGTGTATTAAAACCACAGAGAAGTTTGTTTTTCAGACTAAAAAACATAATTCTGATTTGTTGCTGTAAATACTAAAAGGAAATTACAACTAGTATTATAGGTGCTAATGATGCTGGCTTTTCATTAAAAACTAAACTATTGTAGTCATTTCCCTGACTTTGAAGAGTAGAAATGTCTTCTCTCAGAAATATTAGTAAAATAATCTAATGTCTTTCACTTTACTCATCTTTTAAAGAATAATACTCTAAATTAAGCATATAATTAACATAAAATAGCATGATAGCAGCACTACATAAAATAATCATGATTTAGAATCTACTCGAGAGAGGCTTCTGTTAATTACAAATAATACTTTATCAAAATACATTCTTAGAGTCTATACTTTTAGAAAACAATATTCATGAACTTTTAAAATTCATCTTTAATGTACATAAATATTTTTAACTAGTGTCCAATACTCTGATTCTATTTTGAAAGGAATCCCACCAACCAAAAGGCAATATGTCTTAGTGACTTGTACTAAAATATGTATATCAACAGGAATAGCTTCTTTGCAGCACATACCAGAATACAAAGACACTTTGCAAATGATAACAGAGTCAGGGAAAGACAGCTACCAGATACAGCCAATGATTACTTACCAATGTGGTCAGAAGATGGGAATATAAATAATTCAAAACCACTGATACTTCCAAATCTCCATTTTAGCTGTGGTTTCAACCTCATTCTCTACTAAAGCACGTTTCAGAGATGAGCAAAAGGGGAAGTTAAGTATTTTGGTTTACATCTTCTTTGATTGCCTTTCCCTCTGGTACAGATGCTAACACAGCAAGAAGAGATTGGGGACTGAGGGATAATAAACATGGCACTCAGGTAATCCAGAGTACAAAACAATCAGCCACTCAGTAATCAAAAATCAAAAACCTTTCAGCCAAACTGGCTGCCAGGACGTATTTCAGATAACGGTGCCTTTGAGTTTCAATAAGAAGCAAAATATCACACAAATTATAGACACATTTAGATGAAACCCCTATGGCAAAACATATCAAAAGCATAAAACACAGAAGGTTTGGTTTTAGGTCTAAGCTTCAGTACACACAGCCACTGGGCCTGTCCTAAGCCCACCACTCAGAAGCCAATAGCAGAACTTCATGTGGTTTCTCTGAGTTACATATCTGACGTGTGGATCATCATCACTCTTGGTACTTCTACTGAGTTATGCAGCCACCAGCTTTATCTGGGTCTTCTCCATCAATTTTAATCCATTTCTTTTCTATTTCAACCTGTTATATAAAAGCAAAACATGGGCAGCATTAGCAGTCCAATTTATACATGAGGCAAGGATGGGCCAGCTCACACTGTGACTTCAAACACAGCCCTCCAGCCTCCCGCACTAGCTTAGAAGAGTGCTCTCTTTGGGGACTAAAGAACCCCTCAAATCCTTCCCTCCAAATCTGAAGTTCTTTAAGTCAAACATACTATAAATATGCATCTAAAATATTAACTCATTTTTAATTCCATATTGAGAATACATGTATATATTGATAAGATATTGACAAGTCTGGCTAGATGTGATCAGTTATCTCCTAAAGGATCATATTATACAGTCATTGGCCCACCCAAAATTTAAAACACACTCCAAATTATCTTCCTAAAACAAACTAGTTTACAAACTAGTAACCCAGTTGAGCCAAACCATCTGTCTGTGCTGCTTCTTTTTCTAATCTCATCTCAAATGTCCCCTCCTCATGGAGACCCTCCTGGACCACCCTGGATAAAGGAGTCTCCCCTCACCTCATTCTCAATCCTGTTGCCCTATCATATTCCCTTTTTAGAATTCATCAGTTGTTGAAATAATATTTTTTGCTTGTTTACTAATTTTTTGTTTGCCCCCACACACACACTAGAAGCTCCATCAGGACAGGGACCTTGTCTCTCTTGTTCACCACTGTGTCTCCCATCTATAGCAATAGCTGGAACTGGGACACAGTTCATCAGACACTAAAAGGAAGGTAGCATTATGAAACTAACATACAGTGGGGATGATCAGGACTTTGAAGAAATAAAGGCACAGATCCATGGTAAACCTGAGATACTTTGTTGTATAATTTTAAGCTGTCTACTAAAACTATGTGAAATTGACATATTCTATAAATAGGGAGGCCGGTATAAGTAAAGTCTCTGTGTGTACTTGACTCACATTTCAGTCATACATAACACTTACACAACTAGTGTTATAGGTCAGGTTCCCAAGAAGCAGATTCTGAGATAAGATTCAAGTGAGAAAGTTCACTGGGGCATTCTGCTGATCACTGACGGCAGCGGGGAGACAGGTGGGCAGAGCAGCCAATATCTGGGAGGCTGACCCTACAGTGGTCCTGTAGACTTAGCCTAGCTGATCAAATGTGGTCTTTATACACTGTATCTACCCATCTCTGGACACAGGTGACCCAGGAGAGGACATGACCTTGGGAAAAGCAGCTCTCTTTAGCCATGTTGGAAAAGTAAGTTCTTCAGTGACAAAAGAAGTACCCAGGACAGCATCTACCCATCATTAATTCTATCAATAGGAAAAAATCACCAGGCTCAAACATACAGACTTCTAAACAGATGGTCCAAAATAAAGAAAAATCCTGGTATATTACAATGTTATAGGATCACTAGTTGGTGTTAATGATGCCTTATACAAAATCACATGATTTTAATAGGAATAAATGAGTAGAAAATCAGGATGGCATTAATCATAGCTGAGATTCAACCAACACATATATTTAAAATGCTATTAGTATAAATATTGTCCATGTGCAAGACAAAAAGAAAACAAATTCTAAACAGAACCACCTGTTTGTTAAGCACTATTCAATTTCTGTGATTTGCAAAATATTTTCCAATTTTAAAAATATTTGTAAACAAAACCAGCAACATATGCCACCATTTTAAGATACTATGGGAAATATGTGGGAGATATGCTCTGTGTTTCTAATATATGTTTAATATATATGTATATTAATATAATGTTTAATATGTTTCTAAAAAGATATATGTATGTGTGTATATACATACCAAACTTTGAAGATAAAAAGGAAAAATAATAATATATATGAAGGAAAAATAAGTTTAGAAACAGATGTAAGTGTAATTCACCTGGCTCAAGAGTGCAGAACTGATGGTGAACACTTAAAACTCTTGTAACAGAGTAACTCAGCATTTCTCAAAGGATGCTCCACAGAATACTAGTCCATAAGATATTTTTAAAATATTTTTTTAGTTAGATGGACCTTTATTTTATTTATTTATATGTGATATGTTGAGAATCGAACCCAGTGCCTCACACATGCCAGGCAAATGTACTACCACTGAGCCACAGCCCCAGCCCTCCATAAGATATTGATGTGTGTTTTATACACACATAACCACCAGACAATAGTCCACAGTCAATGAGTTGGGAAAAATTAGACAAGCAAGCTTAGCGATTTTCTTTTCATAGGACTTTTCAGAACCTTTATTTAGTTAATTTACTATCCCAACCTTTTTTTTTTTTCATTGAATCACTGTGAGACACACATGTTCCACAGCACATGAGAAATGCTATTCTAACACATGTTCCTCAGAACATCTTGGGAAATCTCACATCATAATTTTTGTTACAAATGTACTTCTTTTTTTTTTCTTTTTTTTTACAAATGTACTTCTAAGATATGAGTTCATTTTAAATGTCCTGTTTTTCATTGAAAGTTACATAACTGTTAATTTGTGTTCTCCAGTATGGAAGGGAAGAACTAAGCTCAGTGGTACTACAAAGTTTCCATGGCCAAACTTATTTTCTAGAGCAAATATTATTACACACACACACACACACACACAGAGTCACTTCAGAGGGTAAAGCAAATATTTAAGCCAAATCAGGCCCCAGTTCTAGATGGCCCAACATGAACCAAGGGGCTCTAGGATGTACCTGGATGTTGTAGCAAGCTCGCTGTTGAACATGTTTCTGTGGCTGGACATCGCTCTCCATCCCCAGAGACCTGACCTCTGTCCTTGAGGCACAGGACTCAGGCATAGAAAACTGAACAGTAGCAAATGGATACCAGTCAGAGGGAATTTCTTGGTCTGATCCAAGTTCTAGTTTGTATGACAGACAGTGGGGATGATCAGGACCTTGAAGAAACAAAATTGAATGGTCAGAGTGTTTTAATGCCCATTGAACATTTCTCCTGAACATAAAAGGCATTTATCTTTTACTTTAATAAGCAATTCCATTGGCATTATAGCAGTACAAATTCTATTTAAACAAAATGCTATCAAAATCTACAATTGTGTACCAAGTAGTGGAAATTCCACCTGCATTTTTAAGTACTAGCTCTAAGAAAAAGTATAATTTTAGCCGGGCATGATGATTCAAGTCTTCCAGCATCTTGGGAGGCTGAGACAGGAGGATCATGAGTTCAAAGCCAGATTCAGCAACTTAAAGAGATCCTGTCTCTAAAATAAAAAAAAAAAAAAGTCATATATGTGTGTGAGTGTGTGCGCAAGCGCACACATGAGCACACTAGGGATGTGGCTTAATGGTTAAGTACCCCTGGGTTCAATCCCTGGTACCCAAAAAAAAAATTACAATTTTGTTACTGTTACTATATACCTACAGAGATTAATTTCTCAAAATGTTTCCAATTACAAGTATTACAAAGTTTTTTCTCGAATTAAAAGGTAAGAGTAATGTTTATAACGTAATTATTTGGCCACAATGTGCTTTAGCCCTGTGGAAACCTCTTAAGCTCTTACAAGTAACTCTTAATTCATTCATTTTCTTACCACTCCATTTATAGATAATGCAAAGGTAAATTTCAGCCCAAATTAGGTTATATGAAAAAGTATGATTTTGTTAAATTTGAAGTTTTATTACATTTCAAAAAATATTCCAAACTAAGAATTATTTTTTCAGTGGGACAGATTATTTTTCACTACTGTAATTCTCATTCATCCTTCTAAAAAGCTTTGACTGGAACAGATATAGAGTGCAGAGATGGGCATATTGGCATCCAAAATTCCAATCTAATATTTGTTTTCACTCTATCCAATTTGTCATTTATTGAGCATCTACACTACACCAGGCCAGGATCTATGCCAGACCCAGAGAGATACTGGATATACTCAAAGATATTAGGTGGGTTCACATATGTGTGTACATGTATTATAATGGAGTATAAAATATTTTCACTGCAGTAACTTTATAAATGATTCATGATCTTGTTGCCATTGTTCATAGCATCTACATATCCAATGTGGCTGTCTTAAATAAATGTCCGTGATGACAGTAATTTCAAAAGCCAGATGAAATTGCTGTACCACTGACATAAATCAAGAACATTTTCATCAGAGTATAGCTTTAGGCACAAAAACAAGAGTTTAAAGAATTTCACTTAATTCTGAAAAGATAAATTGCCTTTCATTCCCTACAACCTGTTTCTTGTAGAGAAACTAATAGAATTCCAAGGCTGTAAAAAGCCTTGAGAAGTTATCAATCAATTAACCAACAGATGTTCATTAGCCACATCCATAGGAAAACAGTGGCCTCTGAGCACTTCTACCCACATCACTACAGGCAAAGTGATGACTTCATTCACACCCCACCCCCCAGGAGAGCCACAATCCATTATCCTTTCTAGACTCTGGCCACAGCCAGGATGCACAAAGTTCATTCACACTTAATTCAGTCCTACGATGGCAGAGTGATTAAGAATCCAACCTCTGCACCCAGACTACCCAGAGGCTGATCCAGCTCTGCTATCTAAGAGCTGTGTGATCCCAGGAAAGTTACTTCTTTGAACCTTGGTTTCTCCATCTGAATGAGGGTAACGATAACATGAGCTTTAGATGGTTTTGTTGTCAGAATCAACCAGTTATATACACACAGAACAGGGAAAGTAGTGTACTCCAGTGGTACAGATGTGCTGCACATGTATTATTAATTTGACAAGTACTACTTGATTTTTATATCCAATATTATTATCTAATTATTATGACTGTGCTAATAAAGAAACTGTGAATTCTACATAGAGTTGAAAATTATACCGGAGATGATCTAATTTTTTTTTAAAAAAATTTTGACTTGTAGATGAACACAATATCTTTATTTTTATTTATGTGGTGCTGAGGCTTGAACCCAGTGCCTCACATAAGCTAGGCAAGCACTCTTCCACTGAGCTACAACCCCAGCCATAGAGACAATCTAATTTGAGATTCATATTTTATAAGGAAAAAAATAGGGGAAGTTTTTAATAAAAATTTAAGAAAAAAAATTAAACCCAAGATGAAGATCTCATATTTGTACAATGTTAGAAATAAAACCTACCTACTTTTCTAGGGGAAACAAATCGTGAAAAATAAAACCACTTTTTCTCTTCAAGTTTTCTGGGATATTTTTCCTGGCTTTTGGAGTACTCTAAATACCCCATAATGTTTACTAATACACTCCTTAGACTTTGAGCTCCACGATAATGGCTATCCTGGCACGTGGAGCTTAGCTGATTATTTGTCAAATTCACAGATAAATGAATGAAAGATAAAGGGAAATCCCGTCATCTCAGTTCTGACCACTAGGGGGCACTCCGGGGCTTTGGTACTTGTTACTGTCACAGCCCAAATCTTAGGTCAGGAAATGCACATCACAAAATCTTCTTAGGTCTGTTTTGATATCCAGTTCCCCCTAAACCAAAATATTTAATATCTGAAACTGAATTGTTGAGGGTCCAAAGAAACGAATAATACAAGGATGACACACCAAAGTTCCTATGGCAGAGAGGCACAGTGGTGCACTCCTTATAATCCCAGCAGCTTGGGAGGCTGAGACAGGAGGATCACGAGTTCAAAGCCAGTCTCAGCAAAGGTGAGGAGCTAAGCAACTCAGTGAGACCCTGTCTCTAAAGAAAATAGAAAATAGGACTGGGGATGAGGCTCAGTGGTTGAGTAACCCTAAATTCAATCCCTAGTATCAAAAAGAAGAAAAAGAGAACTATTGGTAAGAGAGAGAGGCATGTTTGCTAATAGACACTCCAGCACTGCCATTATTACCCTTTCCAATTCTATGCCACTGTTTACACCGCCTGTGGCTAATCAGGGTTCTCATTCTCTTTCTGGAACTCTCTCTCTTTCCCTGCTCCTTCCTCTCTCTCCCCCAACAAGGCCTAAGCTCCTAGTTCTCCTTCCCACCTCAGTGTGATGAAATCTATGAGCTCCCCGCCCAGGCCAACCTTTGCTGTAAAGGAACAGTGAGAATGGAAGAGCTGGTAGAGAGACATTTCAGAGACCTGCAGCTCATCCCACCTCTCCTGAAATCGCAGGGGATTTCACCAATAGGAAAGGTTAAGCCAGGCTCACAATTTCCCAGGAAGAAAAGCAAAAGCAAAAATATTTTTAATTAGTGCATAGTAGACTAGTTCATATGTTCTCCACCAGTTTCTACAAAATATCTAATAGTAAAGGTTTTTCAGAAACTGGTTTGGAAAGCATGATATTTAAAAAAAATTTTTTAAAGTCTTGTCCTCTAAACACACAAATCATATAAAAAAGCACACCGAAAACTAGAGATGACTTCTAGGACCCAGCTACTGTGTGTGTGGTCCACAGGGCCACACCAGCACTTGTTAGAGATACAGGAGTGTCAGCCCCAGCCCCAGAGTTGGCCTCCATTTTAACAAGGTGGTTCATGTGGAAGCTTATTAAGAAACATTATCCTGAGACAAAGGCTTCCCCTCAGTCCCAATCTTCCTCTGCCTCCACCTCTTCTCAAGAGGCAAATCAGACTGCAGCCTACCAGGCACTTTCCTGTTCTCTGCATTGTCCTTCTCCCTCACATAACCAGCCCCCTTGGACCTGCACTCTCCTCTCCCCACTCTGACACAGCCCTCTTCTCCTTGTCTGGACCTTGATCTAATCTTGGCACCCAGATCTAATCTTCACCAAAGCTTTGATCCCTAAGGATTTGCTCAGACCACTATCACTGTACAATTGACTGAAATGCTTGTAAAATGCTATTCTGTATGGGCTTGGCGCTCTGACAATCTCCAGAAAGAATCCCTGAGGGCCAAGATCAAGTCCAACCAAAGTCCATTCTTGTAATTGTTCTCATTGAGCCCAACTGCTGGTAAATACCAGTAGGAAGTGACACTAACAGGCCTCTAGAAGACAGGAACACAGGGAGCAGGAGGAATGATCTCTGCCTAAGAGACTAGATAGGGTTTCACAGGACAGTGACCAGGTCAGTAGTTCTCCTGAGCCCTGGCTGCAGTAGAAAAGCTTTTCACAAACATTAAAAACTGGTCCTCAGCCCCAGAGATGTGTTAGGGGCTTAGGTGTGTAGATGGGTACAGGTTGAATATCCCTTATTTGAGATGCTGGGGACCAGAAGAACTCCAGATTGCAAATTGTTTTGTTTTTGTTGATGATGATGTTTTTTGGGTTTTTTTAATTTCATAATATTTACATAGACATAATATCATTGGAATGGGACAAAAGTCTAAACGAACTTCATTTATGTCTCATATATACCTTATACATATAGCCTGAAGCTAATTTTATACACTATTTTAAATAATTTTCTGCATAAAACTGAGTTTCATGGAATGGAATTTTCCACTTAAATGCTCAGAAACTTTCAAATTTGGGAGCATTTTGAATTTGTGGATTAGAAAAGTTCAACCTGTATGTTTTTAAAGCTCTAATGTGTCTAACATGCAGCCAGAATGGGGAAGCAGACTATTCACTCCAAAATGGGGAAACAGACTATTCACTTATTTACTTATGTGGTAAATAAGTATATTGATATCCAGTCCCCCCTGAACCAAAATATTTAACATCTGAAACTGAATTGTTGAAGGTCCAACGAAACGAATAATACAAGGATAACACACTAAAGTGTGGTTACTGGGAGTACTGGGAATTGAACCTGGGACATATACCACTGAGCTATATTCAAGCCCTTTTTATTTTTTAAGACAAGGTTGCAGTAAGTTGCCCAGGCTGACCTCAAACTTGCAATCCTCCTGCCTCTGCCTCCAAGTAGCTGGAATTATAGGCATGCACCACCATGCCCAACACAGACTTAATTTTAAAAAGGTGAATGATTGACAGATCCTAGGCTATCTCAGCTAATGGCAACACCATTCCCCACACTAGACACCCTGACTTTGTCCCCCCTGCCTTGCCCCCATGCCCAATCTGTCATCATCTTGGAGGAACCTCCTCTGAATTTCCTTATCCTTCCTTGTCAGCCTCCCTGTATCTATAACCTACTCCTGCATACCTCCCCTGCACTACACACCTGCCTTTCCAAAATGGGGTATGATACTGTCACAGTCATACCTGAGGACACCTCTGAAGACTTGGTGACAAACTCCACACCCCATAACATGGCTCACAAGATCTTCATGTGCTTCTTTCTTCTCCTACCACTCCCCAATTTTTAGTAGATTACCCACCTACAGGCCTGTGGTTCTGCTGTTTATATTCTGAGTGGAATCTGCTGATAGTTCTGTGCCAAGCTTAACCACCAGCTCTTGAGTAAAGCCTTCCCTCATACCCAGGCTTATCTCTCCTATTTCTGGGATCTCCACTGTGCATGTGTGTGCGTGCTGGAATAGCATACTTCTCCCCAGTGCACCTGGGGGGTTGCTCCTGGGTCTGTCTCACCTGCTACACTTACACATCTCTGGAGAACAGGGATCATGTTTGTGTATCTCCCCAGCATCCAGCACAGAGTCTGTAGCTGGAGGAAATTTAGTGGGTCTGCAATGAAGGAATGAGTCCTCCTCTCAAGAAATTCTTGTTGATTCCATCCATTATCTATACCATTCATGCTAGGAAAATCCAGTGTTATAACAGGATTATTTTCACAAGAAACTTTATATGCTGGTTCCACTTCCAAAATTTAAAAAAAAAAAAAAAAAGTATGAGTTCAGTTTGCAAAATAAGTGGCGGCCCTGGCCAGGTTAAACTGAGTGCTTAGTCCTTTCAGGTCCTCCAGGACTACCTGCTCCAAGCAGGTTATTGAGTGAGAAGGACAGTGCAGAGAAGCAGCAGGATGGTCTCCCTGTCTCTATGCTCCCAGCTGGTGAAACCAGCAGGCTGAGCTCTGCACTCCTCTCTCAGATGCATAATCACTACCACAAATCTATGAAAAAAACATGTTTGATCTTTTGCTCCAACAACCATCTCTAGGACCAACAGAAAACTCCAGGAGTTGAGTTATCAGCCCTCAGGGGAGGCCTCTGGTTCTAGGAGGTTCCAGTAGGCATTCCAGCCTGCCTGCCTTCCCAGCTTTCTTTTTTTTTTTTTTTTTTTTTTTTATTTCCTTTAATAAGATAAAAGCCAATATATCCTGATTTTGTTTAACCCTCACAACCTCAAAGTAGCACAAGTAGCTTTCACAAAAAATCACTGAAAACCTGGTTCCCAAGATCTTCTACTTGTTTCCCTGGCATGCAGACAATCTGAGAACCATTCAACTTGCCTCAACAGACTAGTTATAAAAGAAGTCAGGAGAAGATTCTGACCTTCTCATCACACTGGAGTTGGCCAGAAGGTGCAGTCAGAGGCTATCCATTGGGACCATGCTAACCCAGCACTCCCCACCCTGCCTGGGCCCCAGCTAACCTTGCTGGGGAACAGACTCCCAGCTAATGTGGGAGTCACAAGAACACTGAGGGATGGAACACAGCTTTAATGAAGGAGAAGACTACAGTGTGGGGACTTCTCTTCTGGACAGGGACCTAGGTTCCTCAGTCCTCCAAGTCTATGTCTCTCACTTGCTGATCTTTGTCTGTAGCTCAAGCTCTAGTCAGTTGACAGATGTCACCAGAGAATTACAAGTCATGGAGAAGGTGGTCCACAGCCACCCGGGGAGCACTCCATGCTGCCCCTCTATCCACGGTAGCTGGGGCTTGCTCTTCCTGCTTTATATCATTACAAAGTCTGTAGGGAAGTGTACACTGCCCTGAAATGAGATTCACTTGGGAGCTCTCTAAACATGCTGGTACCTAGGCCCTTGCCCTAGGGGTTCTGACTAAATTGGCACAGAGCAGGGCCTGAACATCCAGATTATTTACAAGCTCTCGGGACATTCCAACATATGGTCAGGTATGAGAAACACTATCACAGGGCCATCCCAAGTAAAAGTTCTTCTTCTCAAATCCACAGGCTGGAGAGGTCTCAGATGAGCTTAAATTTCCCTAAAGGACTAGAGCAGCCATGAGCTATTTGGAAACAGGGACCAGATCTTACCCAGCTTTACCCTCACACTTGCTACTGCACTTGGTATACAGTAAGTGCTCAGTTTGACTGAATACATGAGTGAATGAATGAATGAATGAGTGCATCAACTCAGATCTCCCAAACCTGCCCAAATTCACCTCCATAACTAGAAAAATAACTTTTAAGAAAGGAATAGCCCTAATTTCCAAATTTCCCTTGTTGTTTCATGATATCAAGCCCACTACTAACTTACTATTCTAAAATGAATGTGGGGCTAGAACTGGCTTTTCAAAGTTCTGACCTTCTAGATTGCTTGCTCTGCAGATTTTTAAAAATAAACTGAATTTTTAATACTTGGATTGTGTCTAATTCTAAAACAACCATTTGAGATAGTTAAATAGGTAAATTCAGCCCCCCAAAAATCAATTTGGTTAAAAAAAAAAAGTAAGCCAGTCTTATTTCCAAGAGCAGGGAGGGAGCAAAACCTAAGGAGGAAGCATACTGGCTAAGAATTCAAAAAAGTTCAAGTGTACTCATGAATGGCAGGTCTTTAAAGATTAATTAGGGAATCTAAGCTATGTTAGAAACATTTTTAATATTTGATGTTGACAGGTTGATGTCAAAAAGCCCAAGGGTATGTCTGCATATTTTCCCTCATGCACCATCCACAACAAACTCCTAGCCCAGGATCCTCTCTCTTCAGATATTAAGAAAGATGTAAAAAGTTAAACTTCTGTGGTAGAAATAGGCCCAAAAGGAAACAAATAAACCAGCTGTTGGGCTAACTGTTCCGTTTCCCACAGGTCTAGGTGAACTGGCCTCAGCTGACAAGTTACCATCTGTCTCTGCCTGGTTGCAACCCAAGGAGAAGGGAAAAAACATTTATGTTATTTCCTAAGAAAATCAACTTAGGTGTTGAATATTTACTTGAATTTTTATCAGGAAGCCGATCTATCTTCCACACCACAGCCCGGTAGGCACTCTCATATTTGGCTGACCCCACAGTGACCTGAATGACAGGTTCAGATTCAGGTTCATGTAAACTCCCCAGACAGGCCCTGCGGTTCATTTTGGCTTTCAGGGACTTCTGCCTCTGGAGGTTCATGGTCCAGAGAGCCTTGATCCACTGAGACGGGACAGGAAAGTGTATCATTATATTGTCACAGCACCTCAAGGAACTGGAGTGGGATGGCCTCTGAGCCAACGGGGCCATGTTGACAAAGGCCTGAAGTTCCACGTAGGCGCCTTGGACAACCACGATGGACTTCACAGAAAAGGGAAGCTCGTCCCCATCATACAAAGTCTTAAAACGCATCAGCTCAAACCGGCAGGCATCAAGAGGGACAAACTTAACGATTCTTGACTGCTGATATTCTTGTCCTTTCACACACTTATGAAAATGGTAGTCAAGAATCTCGATCCACTTCTTTTCTGGATCTTTTTCAAAACAGCATTCATCTTGCTTTTGCAGTCCAAGGTCATTCAAGGTTAAAAAGCACTCCACGTTCCCATTCACAAAGCAGAGGCAATGGATTTGAGTTATGACAGCACTTTCAACCAATTTCCCATCCTCTTTTGTGACTTTACCCCAAAAGTTGTCCACAATTTCCAGGGAAATTTCTTGCTCCTCATAGTTCTTCTTTGGTTTGGGAACGACTGGCAGCTTCAGCAGCTCCTCCTCCACAGTAGTCAGAAAGTCCAGGAAGTCCCGGTACTCTGTGGACCCCAACTTCAACATCTGCTCTACGTCTGGTTCATGAACGACTTCTGTCTTAGAATGGTATTTCCTTTTTTCTGTGTAAGACACATGTTCAATCTTCACAGTATGGATTTTCCCCGCCACACTAAAGTTCTCAACTTTGGGTTCAGAAAGTCTGCAATGTGGGTCAAGCTGGAACTCTTTGAATGGCTTCTCCAAGCCCTTCTCATAATACATTTGCAAAATTCCTCCGGGTAAGACTTTCAGAAAAATTGGGCCCCATTGCCGGGAAGACATCATGTTCTTCTTTTCAGGGATTCTCAGCATGAAGGACCATCCGGCTTTGGGCTGACTCCTGAAAAGCGTATGGGGGACAAAGGAAGAGACAGAGTCTTCGGCATAGGGACACTGCGCAGACAAATTTCCAAGAGGGTCTTGGTGCTCGGCTGACTGGAAGTGTTCAAGCTTCTCACAGATGTAGTCAAGGGAACATTTATTTAGGCTTTTTTGATCCATAGGCATCTCCCTGTCTCTTGACGAGAAAGTCTTTCTGCTTCCCGAGGGGTCAAAGGTGAACTGAGAAGTGCTGCCTTCATCTTTCCAAAATGGACTTGAAAAAGCGCAGTCCTCCTGAAAATACTGAAACTGGGGAGCATCACTTTGCAGACCTCCACCTTCAGCCTGCTGAGGACTCGTTTCATCTGAGAGACCCACTCTGGGAGCTGGAGGTGTACATGAGGGGTCCTTAGGTACGAAAGCCTGGGAGACACAGGTGGACTTAGTAGACAATAAGGAGGAACCTGTTCCTGCTGGCACAAGTGGACAGTTTGGAGAAGATTCTGGAATGGGATAAAGGACATGAACCCCTGATTTAGGGATGCTGGGAAAACCTGGGAAGTCTTTGGTTGGTGTAGAAAGGGGAGAATTACTTGGAGGTCCCGGACTAAAGTAAAAATCAACAATGGGAGAAGACAGCGGGGTGCTGCTGGTGGAGGAAGGCCCACTGGGAAATTCTCTGAGACCAGGCAGGTTCAGTTTAAGTCCATTTGGTCTACAGACACTTTGATTCTCCAGAGGGAAATTCTTGGACTTTGGAGAAGACTGAAAAGCAGGGTCGTCATCAAAGGTGACCCAATTGCCTGGGTTTGTGGAGCACATCTTCAGGAGGAGGCTGTGGCCTTGTCAAGGAACCAGATATGTTGTCTCTGTTCAAGGAGAAAGAGAAAATAGGCATAGAAAATAAAGAGGAAAAAAACAAGTTACTAGAGGTCTTTAGTTATGAAAAACACTTGGATATACAAGTACACATAATTACTGAGTACAAACAAGTGTTTAGAGATGAATTCTTTTAATAGCTGAATGGATATTATATTTTTAAAAAGGATCCAACTGTAGGCTGTCTACACTACGAGACTCACTTTGGTTTAAGAATACATATAGGCTAAAAGTGAACAGATGAAGAAGGATACTCCATGCACCTGGAGATCAAAGTAGAACAGGGAAGGTAGTAGCTTAAATCTAGAATGTCCCCCTAAAGGCCAATGTGTTAGGAGGCTTGGTCCTCAGCTCCCTGTACAAATGAGAGGTGATATAGCCTTTAGGGCCTAGTGGGATGAACTAAGATCACTGGGGGTGTGCTCTTGAAGGAAATTGTGGAACCCCATTTTTTCCTCTCTCTCTCTTTTTGCACCCAGCTGAGATGACTGGGCTTCCTCTTCCATGTGCTTCTGCCATGAGATGCTGCCTTGTCACAAGCCCAAAAGCAGGGGCCAAGCATGGACTCAAACCTCCAAAATTGTAAGCCAAAATAAACCTTTCCGATTTTTAAGTTTATTATCTCCAGTATTGTATAACAGTAACAGAAAGCTAACACAGGGGGCCATATTTATATTAGATAAAACAAACTATAAGTCAAAAACTGTTAGATAAGACCAAAAGAACTTATAATGGTAAAAAGGCCAATTCATAAGGAGGCAATAACAATTATATATGAACCCAACATCAGAGCAACAAAATATATGAAACAAACATTGACAGAAGAAAGAAACAGACAGCTATTACGGTTTCAATATTAGGTGTCCCCCAAAAGCTTCTGTGTGAGACAATGCTAAAGAAACTTTAGAGATGAAATGATTGTGTTATGAAAGTCTTAATCTAATCAGTGCATTAAATCTCTGATAGGGATTAACTGAGTGGTAACTATAAGCAGGTAGGGCGTGGCTGTAGCTGTGGCTGGAGGAGGGGGTTCCCTGGGCTGTGCCTACCATGATGTTCTGCTTCACCTTAAGGAATGGAGCTAATTGTCTATGGACTGAGACCTCCGAAACCATAAGCCCCAAAATAAACTTTTCCTGCTCTAATTGTTCTTGTCAGGTCTTTTTGGTCACAGTGGTGAAAAAGCGGACTAAACCAAGAGCCAAACAATATTAGGAGATTTCAATATACTACTTCTTTTTTTAATACTGGAGATTGAACTCAAGGGCATTCTACCACTAAGCTACACCCCAGTCCTTTTGTTTTTCTTTTCAGGCAGAATCCTGCTAAGATGTCCAAACTGGCCTTGAATTTGTGATCCTCCTGCTTTAGCCTCCTGAGTAGCTGGGTTTATGGGTGTGCACTACTGTTCCCAGATTCCATATCCCACTTTAAATAATAATTACATCATCCGGACAGAAGATCAATTAACCAAGAAAAGACTGAGGACTTGAACAACACTATAGATTAAATGGACCTACCAGACAATATGCAGAACATTCCCAACAGTGGCAGAATGATTACACATTCTTCTCAAGCACACAGAACATTCACCAGATCACGTTAGGTCAAAAAACAAGTCATAATTTAGGAAGACCAAAACCACACAAGTATCTTTGCCAACCACAATAGAATAAAACTGGAAATCAGATACAGAAGGAGGAATCAAATAATATCTGGAAAGACACAAATATGTGGAAATTAAACAAAACACAACTCAAATAATGGATAAATGCCGCAGTCTGGCTGGGCAAAATAACTGGAGGTGGCGGGGGGGACAAGCAACTTGTGAAGATTGATACAGTGGGAGCCCCTTTATTGTAGGACAGCAGAGGTATATATACATAACTGAATACACAGCTTGACTCAATTTAGCCTCATCCAGTTACAGCAATCAGTCATTAAGGAATCCTCATCATCTTAATAATTATACACAGCTTAACTTAATTGACATAATCTAGACACAGCAGTCAGTCATTAAGGAATCTCCATCATCTTAATGGATCGATGGCGTTACCGCTCAAACCACTCCTCCTGGCAAAGTGCCAGGTGCCATCTTGACTTGTCTGTGTCCCTCAACAGATAAACTGTATAGTCCACACATTGCAAACAAAAAAAGGGGGTAGCAAGAGACAGAATTAGAAAACATCCCAAGACAAATAAAAATGAGCATAACAAATTTAAGGCAAGAGCAGTACAAAAGGGAAATTAATGGCCATAATGTCTACATTAAAAAATAAGAAAAATCTCAAAAGAAGTAACATCACTTTATGCCTCAAGAAGCTAGAAAAAAATAAACTAGGTCTAAAATTAACAAAAGAGAAAAATAATAGAATACAGCAAAAATTGATGAAATAGAAAACAGAGCTGGCTGGGTAAGGAGGCACATGCCTATAATTCTTGAGACAGGAGTCCCCTGTGTTTCTCCTTTGCTAGCAAAGCAATAAAATGTTTTCAAAAATAAATAAATAAATAAATAAGAAGAAGAAAATCGAAAATAGGAACAAAAAGCAATGAAACTGTGAATTGCTTTTTTGAAAAGATCAACAAAAATGACAAATCTTTAGCTAAACTCATAAAGGATACAAACCTTAAAATTAGAAATAAAAAAGATGACACTACAACGAATACCCCATAAATAAAAGGTATTCTAAGTGACTACTATGAACAATCATATACTAACAAATCAGATTACAAGAGAAATGGATAAATTTCTAGAAACATACAACCTACCAATACTGAATCATAAGAAAACAGAATATCTGAACAGACCTATAACTAGTAAGATAATTCAATTAGTGATGAAAAATCTCCCAACCAAAAAAAAAAAAAATTCAGGACCAGATGGTTTCCCGGCTGCTTTCTACAAAACACTCAAAGAATTGATGCCAAACTCTTTCAAACTCTTCCAAAGAACTGAAGAGGAGGGAACACTTCCAAACTCATAATGCCAGTGTAACCCTGACACCAAAGCCAACGAGACACTACAAGAAAAGAAAGCAAAGGCCAAATATTCCCAAGCAAATATAAATGCAAAAATCCTCATTAAAATCTCTGGAAACCAAATTCAACTGCACATCAAAATGATCCTACACCATAGCCATGTGGGATTCATCCCTGAGATGCAAGGATGGTTCAATGTGCAATAATCAATCAACATGATCCACCACGTTAACAGAATGAAGGATAAAATCGACACAATCTTCTCAACAGATAAAGAAAAGGCATTTCATAAAATTTAACAAATACTTTCAAGAAAAAAATATTCAGATTAGTAATAAAAGAAAATTCCCTCAATATAATTTCCATGTATAAAAATCCCAAAGATAACACCATAAATCCCAATGATTTTCACCAACTAACAACAAATTATCCAAAAGGGAAATTAAGAAAACAATCTTATGTGCAATTATATCAAGAGGAAGAAAATACTTAGTAATAAACATAACTAAGGAAACAAAAGAATATAAAACATCGAAACTATCTAATGTCACTGAAAAAAATTAAGACACAAATATGTAAAAAGATGTCCGTTATTCATGGATTGGAAGATTTAAAATTGTTAAAATGGCCATACCACCTAAAGCAATTATAGATTCAATATAGTTCTTATCAAAATCTCAATGGCATTTTTTATCAAAAATAGAAAAAAATTATAAAATTCATATGGAACCACAAAGGATCCTAAATGGTCAAAACAATCTAGATAAAAAGAACAAATCTGAAGGCCTCACACCAATTGACTTCAAACATATACCAAAGCTAAGATAAGCAATACGGTTCGGTACTGGTCTAAAGGCACATCTGCAGACTAATTGGACAGATGGTACAGTCTTGAAATAAATCCATGGTCAATGATACCTGATAAGGGTGCCAAGAATACACAACGGGGAAGGGATACTTTTTTCAACAAAAGGTATTCAGAAAACTGCATATCCCCACACAAAACAATGAAATTGCTACTTCATCTTACACCAGACACAAAAATCAACATAGGATGGATAAAAGACCTAAGGGGAAGACCTAAAAATGTCAAACTCCTAGAATAAAATATGGGGGAAATTTTCATAATTTTGATCTTGGTAATGATTATTGAATATGACACCAAAGTACAGGCAACTAAAGCAAAAATAGACAAATGGGACTTTATCAAACCAAAAAGCTTCTGCATAGCAAAGAAACAGTCATGCAAACCATATATATGATAAGGGGTTAATATTTTTAAAAAATACATAAGGAACTCAAATAATTCAATAGCAAAAAAACATATAATTTGATTAGAAAATGGACAAAAGGACTTAGATATTTCTCCTCAAAAGACAGAGAGCCAACACATACATGAAAAGATGCTCAGCAGCACCAATCATCAGAGAAAGACAAATCAAAACCCAAGGAATCATGTTGTACCTGCTAGAAGGATCAGTATAAAAAATAAACAAATAGGGCTGGGGATGTAGCTCAGCGGTAGAGCACCTGCCTTGCATGCACAAGGCCCTGGGTTCCATCGCCAGCACTAGTTGAATGAATAAATAAATCAAAAGTTGGCAAGATAGTGCAAATAATGGAACTTCTGTACATTTTTGGTGGGAATGTTAAAATGGTACAGCCACTATAGAAAACAGTATAAAAGTTCCTCACAAAAATTAAAAATATGGCTATCATATTTCCAAACAATCCACATCTTGGTATTTATCCAACAGAATTGAAAACAGGATCTTGAAAAGAGATTTTCACTCCCATGTTCCTTGCACCCAATTTTCACAATAACCAGCAGGTGGAAACAACCTAAATGCTGACTGATGGGTGAAAGAATAAAGAAAAAGCAGTATATGCATACAATAAGATACTTTTCAGTCTTAAATTAAGAGAATTCTAACACAAGCTACAACACAGAGAGAGCTTGAGCAACTCAGGCTAAGTGAAATAAGCCAGTCACAGGAGGCAAGTACTG